GTTCAAATCCCACCTCCGCTTCTCTGTTCCTGTGCCCTGTGACAGGTGACAACCTCGCAGTTGCTCAGTCATCAGCTGCGGGATGGCAGGACCCTTCCTGCTTAGGGCTGCTTTGAGGATTCGGGAGGAAAATGTCCCTGCGGTTCGCAACACGATCCTGTCAGCAAATATGGGACCCCAGGGCCTTTGCATCACTGTCCCTGCTTGAAACGCTGGTCCCCTTGATCTTGGATTAAGTGGATCCTGGATGAGTTTAACTCCAAACTCACCCGGTCGGGATTATTCGCTCTAAGGGTCATTTTTACTGTGACTTTTGAAAAGGTCACAGAGTCGCAGGTTCTCAGAGTCAAAGGGGTGACTGAGCCCCTCCTGCTTGGAGCCAGGGAGAGGGGACAACTGATTCAAGGTCCTGACTACAGTCCCCTGCCTCCCCCAAGCAGGGCCATTGGCATGGTGTGCCCCAGGTTGAAGACTGAACAATTTCTCTGAAAATAGGAGGTGAGGGAGGAGGAGGGGGACAAGAGGGTGACCCTGTAGCTTGGGCCACTCAGACAGAAGCAAAAACAGATTTTTCAATGAGACTCGAACCCAGGAACATTCAGGCTCTGCGCCCCGTCCCCAACCTTAAAAAAAAAAAATTATTTTGAGACAGGGCCTTGCTAAGTGGCTGAGGCTGGCCTCCACCTTGCGATCCTCCTGCCTCGGCCTCCCACTGCGGTGACAGGCGTGCCCACTGCGATGACACACGACATCTCCCAGGCATTTAGATCATGCTTTTGTCCAGTGACTGACCCTCGGTCACTTGAGGAGACCAAATCTGCTTGTCCATTTATCGGCCCATAAACACCTGTTGATAAACAGAGTTGCTTCTGCTTTTTGGCCGTGACACTCGGGTGACATCGTTGCGAAATATCCAAACTGTTAGCCCAAGTGGTGGCCGTGGAGCCTTTAGTGAGCCCCTGCTGTATGTCCCTTCTGATCTCCCGGTGAGGCAGGTCCTAAGGTTAATTTCATTTTGCCAAGGCACAGAGAGGGTGAGACACCCAGTCCGGGCCTCATTGGATCCCAGATCCGTCTGAGTTGTTCAGAGCGAGGCTGCTGGGGGTGATGGGGGGGTCCCTCAGGGGACGACACCCGAAGGAGGCCAGCGTCCCTGGTCTGGGGAGAAGGGAATCGCACATTTTGGAAGAAAAACCTTGATTCTCTGAGTTGAGATGATCCTCGTGGCCGTGGGGATCCGTCTTAGCCTCCTCTGTGGGGCCTCTCTGCCTCCCGGGCTCCCTCTGTCCCTTCCGTGTGTCCCTGTCCCTCCGTCTCTCTCCTTCCTCTCTCTCTGCCTCGTCTCCACCGTCCCCTCCCAGCCAGGACGGGCTCAGGAATGGACCCCAGGCCTCCCGGGGGCTCTTTGGATCCCAGATGTCCTCCTGCCACCTATCCGGGGTCCCCAAAGCTGCAGCGTGGAGGCAGGGGGACTGGAGTGACATCAGATAAGCCTCCTCACCCCCCCCCCCCGCCACACACACGCCCCTCGGGAGGTGAGCAAAGGAAAGAGCTAGAATTCTGGGGAGGGGATGAGCTGGTGAGGGCTGGTGCTGGGCAGCCTTGACTGGGGCAGGTGGCCCTGCAGCAGGACCCCCAGGCCTGGTGGCCGGCCACGTCAGCAGAGGGCCAGGCGGGCACTGCCCAGCATGGACGTCTCCATCCGAGATCTGGGCACCCCTGCTGGGCCTCCCCCACCTTCCGGCCACCGGGAGATGCTTGTCGCTTTATCAACGCGGCCCCGTGACTGACAACCGCCTCTTGTTACGGGCAGCCCAGCCGCGGGCTGTCCGTGGGGGCAGGACTGTCCTTCGGGCTACCCAGGGCCAGGAGAAGGTGGGGACCCCCTCAGGGAAGGTGGCAGGGACACAGCTCAGGATGGAACCTCATGTGACCGGGAGGTTGCTGCTTCCCCGCCACAGCCACCTGCCCCCCAGAGGCTGAGGCAGGAGGATCGCAAGGTGGAGGCCAACCTCAACAGCTCAGCAAGACCCTGTCTCTAAATAAAAAAGAGGGCTGGCTTGGCTGCGGGGTCCCCGGTAGATGTGAGGGGACACTTGGGGTAAGGGGGTGGTGACCGTGGAGTTGATCTCTGCAGCCTGGCCTCAGCCCCCACGATGGAGGCCTTGGGAAAAATCTGTGCTCCCAAGGCCTGTCCCCGGGGCTGAGGGACGCCACACTAGGCTTGTCCCCTCCTGCCTTTCGAGATTTTTTGGGTACCCAGGATGGAATCCCGGGGTGCTCGACCCCTGAGCCCCGTCCCCGGCCCTTTTTATGTCACGGTCTCGCTGAATGGTTGAGGCTGGCCTCCAACTTTTGATCCTCCTGCCTCAGCCTCCCGAGCTGCTGGGATGACAGGCGTGGGCCACCTTGCAGGCTCTTGGGACCTCCTCTGCTGTGACCCCATCACCTGTGAGGCTCAGCAGGGCCCCGTGGGAGCCCAGGCGGGATACCTGGAGGCTGGGGTGTCCCATGGAGGCCGGAGGCAGCCTCTGGGCCTCGCCTGGTACCCAGCCTCCGGTCAACCTGGGCTCCCTGTGGCCTTTATCTGGGGCCCCAGCTGTGGCTGTGGGAAGTGACCGTTTCTTCTGGGCATGATATCGTGGTGGCGGGTTGAGCAACACCCGGGTGGCCTGGGGGGGGGCAGGGCCACGTGACCTCTGACCTGCAGGTGCAGATGGGGCAGGTGGGCAGCCACGGGAGACCTAGGTTCCGACTGGGTACTGTCCCCCAGGGGCCTCCATCCCTGTGGAAGGCCACCCCTTTGGGCCTCCTTCTGGGTCTGTCCTGGCCCTCAGCTCTATGTGGGACCCCCACGGTCCCCCCAAACTTTCTCTTCCTCCTCGGGGGCCACAGACGGGCCACCCCTTCCCTGGGCTGCCCCCAATCACTTCCTAGCCTGGCGCAGGGCCACACGCCTGTCACCCAGCGGCTCGGGAGGCTGAGGCAGGAGGATCTCGAGTTGGAGGCCAGCCTCAGCCAAAGCGAGGCCCTGAGCAACTCCGTGAGACCCTGTCTCTGAATAAAATGCAAAATAGGGCTGGGGACGGGGCTCTGTATCCGAGGTCCCCTGAGTTCAATCCCTGGTGCCCCCTCCACCCCCCAAAAAAATCACATCCTGTGGCGTCTTAGTGGCCTCTGCCCTTTACAGGGCTCATGGGACCCCCCTCCCCTGGGACCCCCTCCCTGCCAGCCACTCAGCCCTGTGACTGGCCAGAGGACCAACAGCCCCTGCAGCCACTGTCCCAGAGGCTGGGAGGGACAGGAAGCCTCCTCCCTGGGTGGGGACACTGGCTGCCTGAGTGTCCCCACCCCGGCTCCCTGGCTGGAGCCTGCTTCTCGGCCAGGATGCTGCGAACTCCTACTCAACCTTCAAAACCTTACCCAGATGGCCCCTTGGCGGGGGTCTCCGTCACCCTGGGTTAGGGCCACAGAGGCCACACAGGCCTGATGTAGGGGCTGGGAGACTGTGGCCAGGGCCACCGCCGTAAGGGAACCTGGACATGCTACATGTCACTCGGCAGGGGAGGCCGGGGAGGCCAGAGACCCGGATCAACCTGAGGGTCTTATTATTATTTTTGGTCCCAGGGATGGAACCCAGGGACACTTGACCCCTGAGCCCCGTCCCCAGCCCTTTTCCTATTTTATTTAGAGACAGGGCCTTGCTGAGTGGCTGAGGCTGGCCTCCACCTTGCGATCCTCCTGCCTCAGCCTCCTGAGCCTGTGTCCCAGTGCCCGGCCACCCCGAGGGTCTTGGACCACCCGGCGGAGGTCCCTGCCTGATTCCTTGGCATGGCGAGTCCCTCTTCTCCGGTCCTGGAGAACATGCCACCAACTCGAGTGTCCTGGAGGCCCCTGGGTCCCCACCTCCTCCTCCACCCCATTCCCACGCAGACACACGCCAGACCCGTGCCCTCCCTGGGCACACGCGGGGTCCACGCAAGGACACAGACGCCTGGTCCACAAATGGCAGAGGCCCCGCGGGGCAGGACCTGGGAAACCAGAAGCCACCCGCGTGCTGCCCGGGCCCCAGGGCTTCCCGTCCTGCGACCTTATCTGTCACAACTCTATTAGGCCAGAAGCCTGCTCCATGCATCTGGTTCCAGGGACAGATAAGCCTTATCTCCTCCCTGGTGCATTAGCCCGGGGTGGGGTCCTGCCAATCAGGGCCACCTATGACCTCACCAAGTGGGCAGGTGGGGGACAGGGGCCTCCACCGGGCAGGGTCCCCGAGGGCGTCTCCCTCCGCGGCATCCTGGGAGCAGGGTCCCTGGGACCCCAAAAAGCACCCGCGTTCCAATCTCAGCTTTCTGCAGGACGCTGGGCACCGGTGCCCAGCCCTGGGGACAGGGGACAGGCCTGTCCTGCTCACCTGCCCGGCTGGGCTACGTCTTCGGGATGCCAGGCCCCATCGAGGGGCCACCCCCGCGGGTCACCGCACATGCCAGGGTCCCACACGGGGCTCCTGCTCCCTGTGACGGCTGTGGCTGGCCTCTCCTCTGCCGTGGGCCTCCATCTGTCCCCTGAGTCCACTCTGAGGTTTTTTTTTTTTTTGGTCCCAGGGATTGAACCCGGGGACACTTGACCCCTGAGCCCCGTCCCCAGCCCTATTTCTATTTTATTTAGAGACAGGGTCTCGCTGAGTGGCTCAGGGCCTCACTAAGTGGCCGAGGCTGGCCTCCACCTTGCGATCCTCCTGCCTCAGCCTCCTGAGCCCCTGGGATGACAGGCGTGGGCCACTGTGACCAGCTTTCCTGGGATTTGGGGGCCCGCCGTGGGGTCTGTGGTGGGGATGTGGAAAGGGGGCCAGGTTGGGGGGCTGCGTCTCCCCCCGATAGGTCCTGGGCCCCCCTGGCTCCCCGTGGGACCCGTCTGCTGGCCAGCTCCCGGGCTGTGAGGAAGTGGGTGGCCACACGTGGCCAGGTAAGTCCCCTGTCCCAGGACCACACAGGAAGTGGGCGTTTCTCGTCTGTTTGTCTTTAATAACTGGATGCCAAGGCACAGGCTGGGGACATGTCCCCGGTCACACATCCTACACAGGACAAGACCCACGGCTGAACCCAGGCTGCTGTCCCCCTCTGTGAAGGGCTGGGAAGCAGAGGTCAGGCGCATGCCCCTTGGTCAGGGGGTGCACTCTGACTCGGGGGGGACGGAGGGACTTTGGGCTCACCCGATGCTGCTGCCGGATGCTGTCACCAAAGAAGGGAGGTCCCGGTGTCGGCCTCCTCCCTCCCCCGCAGTTCCCGTGGCGCTCGGGTGGGGCCAGCCTGGGACCCCGCCTGTGCCCTGGTGTGTGTGGTGGGGGGCTCTGGTCTCCTGGATCAACCCTGACCTGAAGCCCTCACCTGAGCCTCATCTGCCTGTCTCCAGAGCAGAGCGGCCTCTGTGACATGGTGGAGCCGCCCGCGGGGCTGTGGTTGGCTGAGGGACGGAGGAGCCACTGTGACCCCCAGAGGTACCCCCATAGGGGACAGCAGTGGGGCTCCTAGGAATTGGGGCAGCTCCCCAGTGCTGACCACCTGACCCACGGGGGAGCCGCGCTGTGGGAGGGGGGTGGCCACACAGGCCCCACAGCTGGGAAGTGGCACCGGGCGGGTCCCCAGCCCCCTGCCTGGTCCTGGGGGGCGCAGGTGCTGGGCCGTGTCGCAGGGTCCTGCGGTGGGGGGTGCTGGCCCTGGGGCTGGTATCTAATCAGAGCCTCCTGGCTCCCCGGCCACAGGACGCCGTGTCCCTCCCCTTCCCTCTGCCTTCAGCCCCGGGGCTCGGCGGCCCCGAGTCATCTGGTCACAACCTGCCCTGCTCCTAGTTAATGTCATTTTGTGCAAATTGAATCATAACGCGCAATCGCCAGGACGAGAGGAGGCGGCCGCGTCCATCTGCGGCCACCAACAGGGACAGGCGGACGCCTGCTCCTCCTGGACGTCTCGGGAGGCTGTGTCCCCCCCCCCCTCCCAGTTGGTCCCACAGGCCACCCTTGGCTGAGTCCCCGGCCTTTTAAATGTTTTATTTAGAGTCAGGGCCTCGCTGAGTGGCTGAGGCTGGCCTCCACCTGGCCATCCTCCTGCCTCAGCCTCCCCAGCCACGGGGCCGGCCTCCTGGAGATTCTTGAAAGTCCCCTTGGAACAGAGCTGGGGAGGGGTGGGGACACTCCTTGAGATCACACAGACTGAGACAGACAGGTGGACAGACAGACAGACCAGCAGGCGGGCTGGGGCCACCAGGCAGGTGCCAGCTCTGGCCACCGCCCTTTCCTAGGCGGGGGTGGCCGCTGTCCCCGGGGAGAGGGCGCAGGGGGCCAGTCCCAGCCCTGGTCCTGTCCCTGGGGGCACCCGGGAGGCGGAGGCACGTCGGCTTGGGTCTGGCACACGGTGGCCTGGCCTGGCTGGGGGGGCCTGCGGGTCACCTGGTCCCTCAGGGGGCCTGGACCATGCGTTTCTGGGTGTCGAAGACGTAGCGCTTGAAAGACAGGCTGAGGGTCACGTGCTGCGGGGGCTCGGGCCGCTCGGCGCCCTCCTCCTGGCGGGTGGCCTCCCCGGGTCCCCCGCGTCCCCTCTTCTTGAGGGCAGGCGTCAGGATCCTCTTGGCCTCGGGGCTCAGGCCACCTGCAAGAACAGAAGAGGCCGGTCACCGCCACCCCCAGAAGCCCCCTTCCCTGGCCGCTGCACCCCGTGTCCCCCGGGCAGGGCCAGGCTCTCGGGGCCACCAGAGGCCACCACAGGCCACCACAGGCCCCGGGCGGGATGGAGGGGAACAGGTGGAGGACGCGGCGGAGGCCGGAGCACGGTCCCCTGGACACCTGGGGTCCCCTCGGGGGCTGGGCACTGTCCTCTGCGCGTGGGTGGCCTCTGCAGCCCCCTGTGACCCAGGCTGGTGACACATTCCCCCGGCCCTCAGGAGCTGGCCCCGGAGGTGGCCGGACCCTGGACTGGCCTGGGTCCAGCGTCCCCCCTCACAGAGGCCTGGCACCCACCAAGCAGCCGCCACCCGCAGGTGACAAGAGTGGCCGTGTCCCTGACGGCGGACGCGCTGAGTGGCCTTGGTCCCCAGGAGCCCCTCGGCCTGGCCCACCTGGAGCCGGGCCCTGTGTGCACCCAGGTCCCCTCCTGGTCCCTCAGGTCCCTGAGGGACAGCAGCAGGGCCCCCTGGGGGAACCCACCCTGGGCCCCGGCTCTGACCTGGCTGGTGGCTGCTGTGACCCGACGGGGACCTCACCTCCCCTGCCGTCACTTGGCTAAGGAACAGGCGGCTCCCCAGGACACAGCGCATCCCTGGGGTCATTGTCACACAGCCCAGTATCCCGGGGTCTGCTCCCAGGCCACCGCGTCACGGGGACCAGGAAAGCGCGTCCTGCCATCTCAGAGCAGTGACCGATGGCCCGGTGTCCGGTGCCAGGTGGAGGGACAGGAATGCGTCCAGGTGACAGGAGCCCCACAGGGACGCGCCTGTCCCCCTGCAGACCTCCTGGCTCCGGGGGCCGCGTCCTCGGGCCTGGTGCCACCCCCCGCTCTGCGCAGGAGGGACAGGCTCTGACTCGGGGACTTGGGGACCTGCCCTAGTGCCGTCCCAAGAGTCCAGCGGCCCACAGTAGGCCACCTTCCCCTGGGGACAAGTGCAGTGTCCCGTCCTGGCATCAGACACCCAGAGTCCCCCACGGCAGCCTCGAGTCCCCAGCCTTCCCAGGTGACGGGGTGACAGCAGTGACCGTCCACCTGCCCCGGGAAACGGGACCCTGTGTGAGGAGCAGGTCACCCCGGCCCCGAAGGTGCCCGTCACCTGGCGCCCCTGCCCACTCCTGTCCCTCTCAGGCCCAGGATGCAGGGGTGGGGACGGGCTGCGTGACCCGGGGTGACACTGCTTCCTGTGACTCCCCTTGGGGACACTCTCCCAGGGCCGGTTGGCCTTTTCTCACCGGTGACCAGCTGGACACAAAGGCCCGCGGGGTCCTGGCTGGGGCAGGACAATGAGGGGACGCCACTGGTTCCCAAGCCCTGGCCTCGGGTGCCACCCGCCACGGCCACCAAAGGCCAGCAGATTGTCTGGCGTCCCCACTTTCACGTTGGGGACAGCCGGGGGGCGGCTGGCACCCCCCAGTGGGAACCGGACCCTTGCGAGCAGCTCGGGGTCACCGGCCCCCTGGGTGGCCGCACAGGGACAGGGCTGCCGGGCACTTCCTGTGCCGTCTCAGCCGTGGTGACAGGGACAGAGAGCTGGGCAGGCTCAGTGGCCGACGGGGGTCATGTGCCTGCAGGGCTGGTGGCTGGGCCCAGGCTGCGCAGCTACAGGGGACCCGAGTGTGGCCGAGCCGGGCAGGAGGAGCCTGGGGACCGTCGGCCAGGCACGGTGGCCCTGCACAGGGCCTGGCACACGTGTCCCGACCTAGGGGCTGCCGAGGACATCCTGGTCTCGCAGGTGACCAGCTGAGGAGCATCCTGGGCAGGGGCTGGCCCACGGCCCTGCAGCAGTGTGCGAGGCTGGGCGTCGGGGACAGGCACAGGGCGGAGGCTCGGGGACACCAGCCTGGCTCCTGACCCAGCTGGGCTGCCACACTATTTTTTTTTGGTCCCAGGGACTGAACCTGGGGACACTCGACCCCTGAGCCCCGTCCCCAGCGCTTTTTCTATCTTATTTAGAGACAGGGTCTCGCTGAGCGGCTCAGGGCCTGGCTAAGTGGTCGAGGCTGGCCTCCACCTGGCGATCCTCCTGCCTCAGCCTCCCGAGCCCCTGGGATGACAGATGAGCGTCACTGTGCTTGGCTTCCCGCTGGGGGACAGAGAGGCGAGGAGGGTGGTGCTTAGCAGGTCCCCTGGAGCCAGCCAGGTCCTTCGGGTGCTTCTGAACCCCTCTGGGAGGAGCCACAGCAGCTCTGGACCGTCCCAGCCCCTGGGTCAGGCTGAGGTCTCCTGAAGCCGCCTTCGGGAGCCACCGTCTTTGACGTCCTCGTCCCTGCCTCTCTGGCTGGGTGTGGGCGGCCCCCCAAGATTTCTCCCCTTCCTTCCCTGCGAGGGACCCCGCGTGCAAACAAAGATGCAATTTGCTTTGACAAGATAAGGTGATTAGGCCTTATCAGACCTGGGCGCCGCTGTCCCCAAGACAAAGGGAACAGGGAGCCGGCGGCGGGCGGCCCACGCACCCCTTTGATTGGGAGGAAGCGGAGGCTGGGGCGCCCGCACCCCCATTTTGATGTCTTAATGTTGTTTAAATCCCCCTTTAATTTCTATTAAGCCTCTTAGCACAATGGGGGAGTCTTCGAAAACACAAAAGGCCCTTTGCTGAATCCTTCCCGCCCATGGAAACCAAAATGGGGACGCGGGGCTTTGGAGATTGGGGGGCGCGTGGGGAGGAAAACGGGGGTGCGGAGAGGAGAGGATTGTTATTTTTTTAAGGCAAAAAGAAAAGCGTTCTGGGCCGGGCAGGAAGGGGCCGGTCTGCAGAATCCAACTTGGGCTCCATTTGCAGAGGCCAGGGCGGCCTCCAAGGAGGACATCTGCGCCCTGAAATTTTTGGGGGGGTACCAGGGATTGAGCTAGGGGGCCCTTGACCCCTGAGCCCCGTCCCCAGCCCTATTTTGTATTTTATTTAGAGACAGGGTCTCCCTGAGTTGCTCAGGGCCTCGATTTGGCTGAGGCTGGATTTGAACTCACGATCCTCCTGCCTCAGCCTCCCCAGTTGCTGGGATGACAGGCGTGGGTCACCGTGCCCGGCTAGGTGGCCCTCAATTTTGAGTCCTTCTGTGACTAGCCTCTGGGAGGGGCAGCTGGTGGCCGCTGGCCAGGGCTCTGATCAACTGGACACAATCAAAGGTCAGTTTCACACTGTCACCTGCCTGGAACGGGGTCACACCCACCTGAGGCTCCCAGCGTACTCAGGTCCCCGGGACGTCACCCTGTGCCTGGCGGGAGCCGAACCAGCCAGCAGGCATAGGCGCACGGACAGACGGACGACAGACGGACGGATGGACCCCACCCCACAGCCCCCGGGGGAGCAGTGGCTGGGTCTCCAGAGTCACATGAGGAACCCGGTGGCAGTCACAGGGGAAGCTCACCACGTCCTGACCGAGCACCGGGAGCCACTCCGAGTGCCCGTGGCCAGCAGCACTTTGGTCCCACAACCACCCGTGGCGGGGGGCAGGGAGCGCCATCCATACACCAGGAACCAGGCACAGAGACGCTCAGGAACTTGCCCAAGGACACACAGCGAGGACAAGTGGGTCGGAGCTCCAAGGTCCCCGAGGCACCACTGCCCTGCGCCTACGGGAGTTGACTGATCCTGGCTCCCGGCGGCTGTGAGGCGGTCCCCGGGGACGTGCGAGCACACGAGCTCACGTTCTTGGACAGACAGGGGACCTGTGGGTGCACAGGCACAGAGACAGTGGATGATGTGTCCCCAGGACCCCAGGAAGGAGCAGCAGGTCACTCTGTGCCTCTATCTATGTCAGGAAGGCAGGGGACCCCGCCATCGGGCAGTGGGGAAAACGGAGGACCAGAGACTCGGACAGACTGCTCAGTGGCTGAGGCTGGCCTCCAAATCACAGTCCTCCTGCCTCAGCCTCCCGAGCCACTGGGAGGACAGGCGTGTGCCCTGGTCCCCGGCTGGGTGTGGGCATTTAGAAGACCTGTGTGTACACGGCAGCGCCTCGCCTGCTCAGGCCTGTCCCCACACACCTGCCACGTCACTGTCACACAGACGGTGGTGGAGGGGACCCCCGCTCTGGCTGCTCCTCGGAGGGAGGGGACGGTGGCTGTCCTCGCCCAATGGCCTTGAAGGCCACCTTCCTACCTGCACGACGGTGAGCTCAGGTCGGCCGCTGACGTGCCAGGGCTCATGCAGACAGACGGACAGACACACGCCTCTGGAATGAAGGACCCTCCTGGGGCCAGGGGCCGTCTGGCCAGTCTTAGGTAATTGCCAGAGGAATGTGACCAGGCCCGGGGACTGTCCTAGAGGTGGCCCTGTGCAGGCAGGTGGGGGTGCCGGGGGTGCCGGCAGAGAGGGCCTCTACGTCCACAGCTGGAGAAGGGTCACCAGGCCCAGTGACACGGCCAGGTGACCTGGCTCTGGGCTCTGGTTTCTCGCTCAGTCCCCGTGAGGGGCTACGGGGGTCACAAGAGCAGCCATTCTGGTGACGGAGTGGCAGGTGTGCAGGGGACGGGCCTGGCCAGGTACGCACAGGTGTTTTAAATGCCCACACCCAGCTGGGCACCACGGCGCACACCTGTCCTCCCAGCAGCTGGGGAGGCTGAGGCAGGAGGATCGCAAGGTGGAGGCCAGCCTCAGCCACTTACGAGGCCCTGAGCCACCACCCGCGGCCCTGTCCTGTTTATAAAGTGGGGACCACACGCCTGCTGCTGCCCAGGGCCCTGGGCACAGGGTCAGGTACCAGCCACGCGCTTCTGGGTGTCCAGGGGCTGCTCCGGCCCCAGCCCCAAGGCCAAGGCCACACAGAACGTCCCGTGGGGGACAAGCCACGGACCTCAGCGCTGTCCCCTGCTCCTGGGGCCTGCGGGTCCCCTGCCCTGTCCCCTGCCCTGGAAACCAAAGCTGGGACCAGAGGCAGCCCCGGGGAGCGGGCAGGGGAGGGCCGCTCTTGTGTCCTCTCGAGGGA